TTTTCGAGAAGCGTGCTGAGCAACTGACCAATAACGACAGAGCGGATCAGCAGACCAATCAGAGCAGACTTGGCCCACGTGGGGTCTAACAGTATGGGCTCAACAGAGTGTAGCTGACGGACTCAGAGCGTAGAGGGAGCAAGGAGGAGCAGTACATGAAAACAGACACTTTTTTCGAACTTTAGATATTGTGAACGTACGAAAGTAGGTACATAGATTAAATATACGAACCCCAAAAAGGGCAGAATATGGACTCTTTAATGTGTTTGTGCCGGCGTACCTAACCTGTGAATCTAATGGCTCGAGGATTTTGTCTTCTAGCATTAATAATAATTCTCATGATGAAAGCTTTTCTGTCTTTTAACTCTTTGCATTTTTTTTTGCCATTCAAGTTTATATTTCTTTACATTGAAATGTAACAAAATATTCTAGCAGCCTGTGAACACAGACCAAAAACGTTGACATATATAAATCCTGCCTCTTACAAGGCAAGTAGTCAACCATAGTTTGTGCTATCGAGTAGCACCTAGACCGCTGTGGGTCTATAACATGTCCATTGCAATGGAAACAAATAGTTTTGTCAACTTTTCTTTTGCAGTTTTTTTGCCAACTTTTCTGATGCAGTTTGCAAGGACACCCCTCTCCCTCAGACTCCAGTTTTCAGTCTATAACATGTTGAGCTCTAACTTGGACAAAATGTCAGTGTTTGTGCCCTTGGTCAGCGAGTATCTGGCCCCTCTCTTCTGCACCACCGGCCTAACTTGTACCAACGCGTTTCAGCTCCGTGTCCCCCCCCCCCTCCCGCTGCTTGGCATGCTCCGTGGCACCGAGCGCTGAGGGCAGAGCGTGTCACCGAGCTGGCACCGGCCTGAACTCGTTCAAGGTTACTCTTTGATTTAATGGTGATGCATTTTTTAAAACCGCATCATCCCTCTCTCTCTCTTGCCACCGCGCCTAGTCCATCTCTGTCACAAACACTGGAGCAGCGTCTCACCTTTAGCAGTGGAAGCACCAGGAGAGGTTGTTTAAGATATAAATCAATGGCAAACGAAGCGCCCCGGCTGGCCCCTGATTGTTTTACCTGCCCGCCTGCTTTGGAGACAGGACGCTGAAGGAAACCGGGACTGTATATTTAGAACATGACACAGGAAAATGATCCACTCGTCATGTAGACAGCTTTTTGAACAGACGTTAACACCGACTACAACGACCTGAAGTGTTGACACATAACCAGGTGTTGTTGTGAGTTTTAAAACCTTTATACTCCTTTTGAATATGTTTAAAGATTGAGAAAAGTAGCCTGGCGTTATTTGTCTCGTATAAATAGCATCACCTAGCTCTGTACTTCGCAGATGTTTTTGACAAGGTGATATTCAGTAATCATCACCTCCCCCTGCTGCTGTTTCACTAAATGTTCGCTGACAGCTTCACAAAAATAGACTCTCAACCAGTTGCTCTTCTTTCTCTGTGAACGAGCCTAATTGTCAAAGGGTTAGCATTGACACACACACACACACACGCACACACACACACACCAACACACACACACACACACACACACACACACACACACACCAACACACACATATTCACAGACAGCATTAAACTTCTTTTTCCCCTTCCTTAACTGAAATTAAATCTGAGCTGTTCAGACACGAGGACGTCCGCCTTTGTGTTGTGTGGCAGCCTGTTCTGGATGGAGATGAGGATTTCTGATAACAAAATAAAAAAAGAGATAAATCAGAGGATAGAGACGGGCCCGTATTCATGAGCCGTGTAATCCTCTTATATCTCGTGTCATTTTTTTTGAAAAAGAAAACACATCTTTTACATCAATACTTGTGTCTGGTATGATAAAACCGCCTCTCCCAAGATCTGGGAACCTGCAAACTTAACAACATGTATAATGGTAATGATGTAAGTAAGTAAAACTTTATTTATATAGCACTTTAAAGCCATCGAACAAATCATACAGTGAGAAAAATGTATCTAGATAAATCACAACGTCGAACCAAGTCGAACCTCCAGTCTTGAAAAATGAAGCCAATGAGGAAGTGCAAAATCCTGCAGTTCATCGAGTGTCCACTAGAGACTGGCTCCAGGAACACAGGAAGTAAAATACACACCAGAGGCAAAAAAGCAGTTTTTACAGCATAAATAAACATGTTTACAGCCTGGTACAAAAAACGAAATAGATCTGATTAGTTATTGTCATCACTGGGACAAACTGTACAGGGGGTGAATTTTTTAAAACTGCTCCGTTTTGATTTTATGAATGATACGTGTTATCCAGAGTTAGGCACATAGCTGACATGATTGACAGGCGGGTGCGATGTAACGGTTTGTCAGAAGGCTTAAACCCACCTCAGCTCCAGCTCTCAGCCTGTCATTAGGTTGACTGAAAGTTAGGCTGAGACAGCATTTCCTGCTGCGACTTCATGTGAAGTTACCTCGGGACCTGCAGGATGAATTCTGGGTAAAGTCGGAGGGAAGAATTTGGCTGTTTGCGACCTTCATGATGCTCTCTGGAGGTCAAAAAGCACATTTAAGAGCGTGATGGCCCCCTATCTTCTCCTTTACTGTTAAACTCACATTTTATAGGGATTAAATTAACTGTTATTTTAATTGCTAATTAAACATTTAATGATCATTTGATTAATCATTTAACCCATTAAAGGTCAGATAATTGGAAAATGCTGCTGGTGACTTAAAATGTCTTTAATTGCAGCCGTAGTCAACATAACGCTAAAATAATTCTGTTTACTTTACACAAAGCAGAGGTACAATCGGGTCACCAGCAGGGGCGATTCTAGAGTCTGTTGGGACCCTGGGCAAAAATGAATTGGGGGCCCCTTCAACCACCATTTTGTCTACCGGTGTCCCGGCGCTCTTCCTCTTTCTTTTTCTACTCCCAAACAGATAACTCCTCGACATGCTCCCTCAGTGACTTTCACTTTGGTGTTCACAGGAATACTGCATGAGATGCTAAGCAGGGTGTTGAGAGTGAGTGCTGTCAGATGGGGCCCCCTAAAGGCCCTGACACACCAAGCAGACGGCAAAGTGGTGACAAAGGCTGCCTGTGGCGCCTGTAGTCCGTTGTTATGATACCAGAAGATCATTTTCACACCGCTGTCGGTCACCACTCGTATTACAGGTAGCCTACTAATGGAGAATAATGTCTGATAATATAGTCTCTCAATGATTTTATCAATGATTTTCAACTACTTTTTTGCACTCTTGTTAAGCACTTTGAACTACAATTTAATTTGTCTGAAAGGTGCTATATAAATAAAGTTTGATTGATTGATTGATAAAAAGTTGAAAATGGCGCTGGCGTTGTCAGCCCTTTGTGTATTAGTGGAAAAAGAAAAGAAGAGGTGGAGGAGACAAATAAGGAGAAACCGCACTAATGGGTGAAAGCATGGAGACTACAGCGGCATGCTCAAGGGGCTTTCCTGAACCTGTGACGAGAGCTGGAGAGAAATGAAACCTCCAAACAGCCAATCAGAGAGATTCCTCTCACCGACGCAAAGAAAGGCCGTCGAGTAGCGACGGTGAGGGACACACCGGAAAAAACTAGGACTGACGGCCGACGATCTCCGGCTCTCAGGGCCTTTAGGGAGGCTTCCTACTGTCATTGCAAAATTTGCACATTTTGAGCCAGTGCTGGGGTTTAAAGTTTGTAAGCACTCGGGGGGGCTATTGGGCCCCAAGCAGATGCCTGCCTTGCCTGCAGCGCCTCTGCTCACCAGTCCAATAACAGGTTATTTTTATTTAAACAAACTGATAAATGTTTTTTTTACCTCAAGTTTGATCTCAAAGCTGGTAAAGACTCAACATTGTCCTACTCTGCATAGTTCAGTTTTTGTGTGCAAATAGCCAAACAGTCAATAAAGAAAATAACCTCTTCTACTGCGTGTGAATGGTGCTGAAATGGTTTCATATCCTCCGGCAAAGTTAATCCAATATTGTGTGTGTGCCGTTGTGACAGAGCCACGCGGTGATTTCTCGTGTCTGACAGATTTAACAAGACGCCGCGTCTCAAACTGTTGCTTTCTTTTCTCTAATGCACCTTTCTGTGATTCTGTAACATCAACAATCGGACGGTTTAAGCTCATTTTACTGTTACATTCATTGTGTTTTCGATAAGAGTGTTCTATGACTCTCTACATCACAATCCTTTTGAGTCTTGTGGGGGGGGGAGAGAGAAGGGGGAGGGGGGGGGGGGGGGTTTAGCAGCCTGATAAAATGTGAAAATGGCTCTTGTCTTCACATAATGCGGCGAGGAGCGCATTTGGTGTTGAAAGCAGCCGAGACATCCAGCTGACACATATTTGGGATCGGCCTAATTTCTTTCAGATTCATGATGAGCTGCGGAGCATTAGATCAGAGATGTGCAAACGGCAGAAACGGAAGGGGGGGGGGGGAATTAGACAGTCTCTGCTGTCAGCCATTATCCACCGTGGTTGAATTGTCAGCGCCGCGATGCTAACATCCATTAGAGCAATTAGCTGCACACACAGGTTTCCCCCGCGCTTTAGTCCGTTGGACCTTTCATTAAAAGCCTCAAAATATTCCTAATTTCCACGACCTCCCAAAGAAAATGTGTACGACGAATGTAATATAAGCAGCAGGATGGAGTTAAATAGAGCGTAAACTTAATTTCATGTTTGCACAATTCATTCGATTCATACGGGCTTAATTGTATTGTTCATTTTCCTGCATATTTAGGGGTGAAGTGTTCGTACCTGGTTATGTCTGGGGGGCATTAAGTCTGACTAATGAAATGACTCTATCCTCTGTGGCGTTTTAATCTATTCACCGGGAAAGTAATTGACAAGCCCCACAGTATGTGCATTAGGATAGCACCGGCACCAAAGGACAGCTGTCACTAAAGCAATTAAAATGACAAAGGTTAATTAATTCTCTCCACTTTTTTACCTGATATGAGACATTCACAATGAGCGAGTTTTCATTTCCCGAGGAGTAATGGTGTTTTGAAGAGAGTCATTTATTTGTGATTTGAAAAAAAAAAGAAAAAAGCCTCACACCAGCCGTTGTCTGATACAGCCTTTAATACGTCAATACCTCACACAACACTGTGCCCCAGGACAGCTCCAGCCCCACATCTGAGAGTAACTCTGCAGCAGCACCGCAGTCTGAAGTGACAAATGTTGTTTTGTCTTCTTAAAATAGACACTTTTATTCCTCTTCTAGTCAACGAGATGTGATTTGTTTATACATGAGGATTGCAGGGATTTTTTTTACACTTCTACAAACATCCATACAATGAGGCTCTGCGTTTCGCTGCGGTTGGGGGTCAAGAGGAAGAAAAACCAAGTCGCTAATAATTACTATGCCAACCACCTCTGACACCACGAGAGCAGAACCCAAGAACTTTCTAATCCACCTAAATGTCAGCGCTACGTTCGCAGCCCTCCCTCCGTGTGAATCTCCACAGGCTGCCAAAAGGCCAGTGGTTAGTCATCTGTTTACTCCTGCAGCTGCTGGGTGTCATTGGGACTCTGAAGGAGAAATCCCATGATTCTCTCTGCCATTTCTGACAGCTCCCGCCCAGGCCACATTAATCAGGGATTGTGGGCGAGCTAGGGGAAAGACGGCAAGCATGGATGGCTCCGGTCCAGGACGGCTGAACCGAGGGAGGAGATCTGGGCCCAAAGATAACACCGACGTCCAAACACTGCCGCATTGTGATGCTGCCGCTTCCATTCATTGGCGTTGAGCTCGTTAAATGCACGGCATCGCAGAGGAACTGATGTGTTTTTTTTCCCCTTCTTTTTCGCTGCTTTGAAATTAGCATAATTTAAGAAGTGTTTGCTTTAAAACAGGACTTAAAAGAACCCACCGTCCTCAGCTTGTGCAAATGAGTCTCCAGGAAACAGATCTGCTGCTGAATTTTGGTTATTAGATATTTGAGATTGGGTTGGATTTAATTCCTAAAAAAGCCATTTTCCCCCGACGTTTTAATTATAAACCCCCGACTTTTATATCCCCTTTGTGTAATCACTTCATTAAGTTCTGTTGAAGGTACAATCAGTGAGCTGAAAGTTAAGAGATTTGCCCTGGCGCTAGAAGAAGAGGAAACATAAAACTGGAAACTGCTGCCATGCCCAGAAAAGTTGTTTAAAAGAGCGACTAACATCAGATCCAACTGAGAAGTTCTTTTTTCTTTTAAAGTTTATTTTCTGGCTTTGATGCCTTCATTTAGATAGTTTCTGATATCACAGAGAGAGAGAGAGAGTGGGGGTATGACATGCGAGAAAGGAGCCACTGGTCGGTCTACTTGGAGGACTATAGGCGCTGTACAGGGGCGAGTGGACTAACCACTAGACTACCGGCGCCCTCGATTTGAGAAGTTTGCTGAAGATTTTAAATTGTTATGTTCTTAAATAAACGTTAAATGTTAAAACCCCAAATTTTCTTTAATTAAAAGCTTTGAAACATACATAAACTTGTAAACCTGCCTTAGTTAATCTGTTTGGTAACAAGCTGCAAACACAAGAGCGACAAATGATCAGCTCATAACTGATAGATAAAAAATGTATTTACACTTAGAGAAGCGTTAGCATCCAATGATCCAAGGTCCAAACTCCTGGAGGGAAACATCTGACTCTCAAGCTACTCTTTGCAAGAGTATATCTAAAGGAGGACTTTCCAAACTAAAGCAAAAACTTTGTTTGGTCTAAAATACTCAAAGAAATGACTCGGTCGGACCACTGAGGGAGTGGTGAGGGAGGAGTGTTCCTCATAGCAGAGACGACGGCTACAAGAGAAGATAAAAACTGATTCAGATTGACATGAAACAGACAGGATTCATGTCCCGCCTGCGTCCTGTAGGAAACGAGCTACCCATCCTAAGTGTATTCACTCCAGAGGGAGAAGTTGTAAACACATTTTATAACCAATTATTTTTTCCCTTAATCACAGGACTAAATTCTTTTCTGTTTTTCTCTCAAGCGACATATCTTCCTCCAAGTGTTGTGACAGTAAAATGTCATATTTTCGTCACATCAGGAAACACTTTCTCTGTTCCAGCTCTGCCTCGCTCCAAACAGCACGCTCTTGTTCGATCTGCCAACACAGATATCACGTCTCACTCTGCTTTCTTCTACCAAACAGACGGGTCACACTTTTTAACATTTTGATTTAAAAAGTGTGTTCATTTCTGATATTATTGATTCACTTTTATTGTTATTTATTATCATTATCTGTTTTTTTAAAGTAGGAAAGTAGGAGACTATTCCTTTAAGACAATGAGTGCGTTTACATGGATTTAAGTTTTTCTGATTTTTTTTTGAGGAGGGTTGAGTCAGAAATCAGGAGAGAGAGAGTGGGGACTGACATGTGGGGATAGAGCCACAGGTCCGACTCGAACCCGGGCTGCCCAACAGACTCCGTACACAGGACGTGCAAATTCACCACTATGCTACCGGCGCCGCTGTATCCTGGTTTTTAAAGTATCCTGTTTTTGTGTTTGTGCATGTGAACATCATAATCCTAATTTCAGAAACCGGGATAAGCTGCTATCCTGATTTTGAGACACTTGATTTTGTTACCTGGAGAACTCAAGTGGCATGTAATTGCCTCACCCCGGTTTCTGACAGCTGCTGACTTCCTGCGGCCTGAGCCAAGCGACGCGGCAGCAAAAACAAACATGGCGGTGGCAACGAGAGCTTCATCCTGAGCGACAAAGAAACTGAGTGTTGTCCTTCTGTGGAGAAAGAATTGAATGTAATTGGATGTTTAGGTGGGAGAAAGCATCAACATGCTGATCTGTTAAAGCCTGTGGTGAGCAGGCTACAGGACGCCGCCCAGCACGTACGGTAGAGAAGGTCAGGTCACGTTGGAAAGTAGTGGAGAAACATCAGAAGAACAGAAGTGCTCCAAAGCGGTCTCATTTTTCTCAGATCTTCAAATTTGCCGCGGTTTGAGTTGTAAAAACACAACATCACAGGCGCCTTCTTAATTAAGATGCAGTTATCAGAAATCGTGGTTACTAGTATTTATCATGTTAACCACAATATGAATAATCTGTGTGCATGAAAACACCATATCCTGAATATGTTACCCAAATCCAAGTTAACATTAGAATGGCGTCTCTTGTAATCTTATTTGTTTTGGAGAATCGAAACATAACACAACATCAGTTAACGTAAAACATCCATTATCTGTGCTAAAGTTTTGATTGGTGCAGCTTTAAGTCAGATTTGTAAATACACGTGTATCTCATCAGGTCATTGTTGATTCAGCCTTAATCAGTACACAGGATGATTCTCAGTGTTTCCCCTCAGACGACATCAGTCAGGAAACAGCTCCATCCCTCAGCAGCTCTCACACCAAACACTTCTGTGCCAGACTGTTTACACTTGTAAGATTACGTGAATAATGAGGCCCACATTGTCTCGGCAGAGTGCTGCTTTAATTCTTTGAAGCTGAACAAACTGTCCCTGGCACATTTGGGTAGGGGTGGAGAGATATCAAAGTCACTTTATTGAGATGAAAGAACTGGCCCAAACAGCAATCTGAGACATTAGTCATTCCTTCTTTCTCGCTGACAGATACATGCTCTCAATTTACGAGTCAGGTGCTTCCAGTGATTTCTGCCAGCCTTGTTCCTCCACATCATAAATTCCTCTTTATGCTCACTCATCCCACAGGCGGACCCCCCGATTCCGTGGCCCGCCTTGTCACAGAACACGCCCCACGTTTGGCATATTGGATGTCGTCCAGGCTGCCATTAGCAGTTTACTGTGCCGCGTATACCATCCTGAACTGCACTGAATTTAAATAGACAGCAGTGATTGCGCCCCTAGGTGCACATTTGTGCTTTTTTTTTTTTTCACAGGTTTTCTATCAGGACTTTAATTCACTCTTTCTGTGGTGTTGACTCTGCAGAGCTCCCACTTACACTGTGTTCATTTCCTCTAAATGCTTCACATGCAGCCACTGGCTCCCAATTTGTGTAATGAAGGTTTAATAGCCAATTGGAACATCCAATACCATTAACAGCCAGAGTTAGTCTCATCCAGGATTTTTTATTTTTTATTTCTCCTGATAACCAGAGGTGCGAACGCTTCATAGGTGGAATGTGTGATTAGCACCTGCAGTTTAATGTATGTCCTTCTCTTTCCTGGAACACTTTCACATATTACAACATCTCACTTTTTTAAACCAAGTGTTTCTTCTCGTTCAGTCTTTGATGCATGAACTTAAGAAAACGATCCTCTATCCTCTATCACTTCCTTCTTTTGTTAGCTTGTTCAAATATCTATTTTTTAAACACTTTGAACTTGTCTCGACCTTGTTTTGTTTCTCATTATCAAGCACTTTTTCTGTGTAAATGATTATTCCGGTGTTATTTTTGGATACTGCGGGGGCACTGTGGCTCTGACACTTCTTAATACGGGCTGCTTGTCATGTAAGTGATGCAGGGGGTTGAAAGTTTAAGTACTGAACTTGTTGTAAGTCGTGAAAATATGAGCCAAATGGAAATGCAAGGGCTGAGAAATCTGCAGAATTAAAGCACAGTCAGGTACGTTTGATTATTTCTTTTAAGGAGCAGTTCAGTACCTCTGTCATTTCGTCTTTTCTTCTTTTTTTTATTTATTTTTATGGACATTTACTTTCTTATTTTTGATGTGACAGGAGCTCTCTTTTGGTACTGATTACCGTGCACCACCCGCGCGACCTTAAAACCTGCATACACGCAGCAACATAATTTAAACAGAGGTACTTTTTTTTTGTTGTTGTTCTTTTTCTCCTCTGACTTGATGGAGATTATTTCTGACAGCTGCAATAACACAAAAAAATATAGATGGACGTTATTCAGTTGTTTACCGCACTCGGTTCATGCACGGACATGGACGGGAATCCAAACGACGACATACGAGGTATACTCACTCTAACAATCACACTGCAGAAAACAACACCACTCAAAATATGTTCGCTTTTCCCATTATGCCCTCTAATGCAAACTGACAGATTCGTCTTATTTGCGTTGACATTTACGTGGTTTGCGGTGATTACCCGAGACTGATTGGAAAAGACAGAAAGCATGATTGAGACGGAAACACACTATCAACGTAAACAACTAAATTAGCGAGGAGAAAAACATTAATAAAATTGTTTTCTGGTCTTTGTGTAGAACCCATAATATTTACATAAATACAATCAGCATATTTTTACGGTTGGCTTGAGAATTTCCTTTCGATGTAAGCAGGCAAGCAGCTATGCATATAATGTGAGGATTGCAGGCCCTAAACGCTCTCATAATGACCTCAGGGTTGGTCTGTTCATTGGAGCAACATCAGTCTTGCGTCAAGGATATGTTAGCTGTAGTAATGCCTGTCAACATCTCAAGTTTTTTAGTGTCCTGACTCCATTTTCATCCGGACACCACTGAGGATCTGAAAGCTTGTGTCTGCGTCTTTTTCCCCTCCTCCTCCCATCCTCATCATCATCCTCCTCCTTCTCTCTTTCTGGTCTTTTTGATCAACCGGTGGGGAGGTACGGGGTGTCGCTGTGGTAGTTGTAGTCTGGACAAACCTTCTGCACCAGCTTGTAGTCGGTGCTGTAGAAGGTGATGAAGATGCAGATGACCTTGAAGGGCTTGGAGCAGAGCCAGGACACGTGGCTCTGCGTCTGCTCCTGCGGGCAGCTCTGCGACGGGTCGTGGGCGCACAGCGAGTTCCTGGTGCCCTTCTCCACCTTCTCGTACTCCACCCTGCAGTTGAACAGCTTGGTGTCCTTCGTCTCCAGAGCCGTCTGCTGCTGCTGCTGCTGCTGCTGCTGCTGGTGGTGATGGTGGTGGAACTGCTGGTGCGGCTGGTGGACTCGGAACTCCACGGCTTTCGTTGGCGGCACGAGGCCCACGGACACGTTACCCTGACCTGTCGAGTTGTGGCGGAAGTAGACGCTGAATGTCCCGTTGCCGTGATCCACGATCTTACCGGTGATGAGGAGGTTCAGCTTCACCGTCTTGATGTTGGAGTGGAAGTCGCCCCAGCCGAACATCTTCTTGAACTTGCCCGTCTTGACGATGGGCCTCCGCTTCGTCCTGGAGCGAGGGTCGCGAGGGTTTGAGGCGTTGTAAAGCCAGTTCCACTGCTCCCGTTTAGAGTACAGCTCTGCGTCGTCGTAGTTCATATCCAGAGAGGTGAAGTTCTCTTTGTCAAAGAGCGTCTGAGACAGCAGGCGGCTGATGGAGAAGGCCTTGCTGCTTTCGGTCCAGTAGGTCTTCACCTTGGATTTCGAGCTCTCTCTCAACTCTGAATTTTCTGAACTTGGTGAATCAGCGCTGGTAACCTGAAAGGACAAACAGAAAATCAACAATGAAGCTCATAACACCAACAAGGCTGCACAAAATGTCATGAGAAAGCAACAGATATTTTCTGCATCTGATTCCGAAATGGCAAAATACATGTTGTGGATAACACCTGAAAGTGTTCGAATGCAACAGTAAAGCTTTATTGTAAAATTTTGTGGAATAGTTGGATCAGCTTTTTGCATGTTTGGTGTCTTCTTGTTCCATTTTTGTGGATCTGGTTTGTTGGAAATTAGCTGTAACTTATGTCAAAGGTGACATATTCTCCTCTTTCTCAACAGGTTTAAATAAGTCTCAGAGCTCCTCAAATGTGTGTGAAGTTTCTTGTTCTAAATCTGATACTGTATTTGATCATGCCATCCCTCTATTTCAGCCCTGCTCAGAACAGACTGTTTCTGTGTCTGTACCTTTAAATGTAAATAAGCTGTGTCTGACCACGCCCCCTCTCTGGAAAGGCTTGGGTCGGCTCGGGCTTTCTTGTTTCATGCCATATTGTTTATGGTGAGAAGGCAGACTCAGAGGGCAGCTGTGGGAGTGTCACCCACCTGAGGGAGGGGTTACTGCCCTTTGTGATGTCATGAAGGGAAAATCTCCAAATGGCCTGTTTGAGCACACATTTTCTGAAAAGTGGAGCAGGCAACAGACGAAGAGGATGGACTTTTCTTATCATGGGGGAGTTGTAGACAGACTCGAGACACATGTTAGAGTTAGAGAAACATGGTGAAGTGGATTTTGAATAACCTTTCAACATTTAGTTAGGGGCGGCAGTAGCTCAGTAGGGACTTGGGTTGGGAACCGGAGGGTCACCGGTTCAAGTCCTGGTGCGGACCAAATCTGGAAGTTGGTCTGGTAGCTGGAGCACTGCTGAGGTGCCCTTGAGCAAGGCCCCAACCCCCAACTGCTCTGGTGCGCTCTCTGCTTAGCAGTTTGTGCATGCGTGTGATTTGGGCCTATGTGTATGAGAAGCATGTCCCTATAAATAACAGAGTGTAAAACCGAATGTCCCTCAGGGATTAATAAAGTATATCAAAATTTTTAGAAATATTGTTAAATCTTTTATACAGAAATAATTGGCCCATATTCAAAGTATTTTCTGAAATGAAAACTAATTAAAAATCTCTCTACAAAATCAGTGTTTCCCTTCTTAAGTGTTGTGGAACAGCTCATTACCTCTTGGAATTACTTCAATTAGACATCCTTTGAAGGTGCTGAGTCGCAGGATTCAATGTTACCTTTTATTTAGGAAGTGAGCACACATTAGGTGGAGGTGGATGTCTGACTGAATAACCATGGATCTAAAATGTGTCATAAAGCATGCCAACTATTGAGGTGAGCTGTATGTTGCAGTCAGTTAATTTGTTGGAACCACCATCTTTTTCAACCTCGGTCTTTCATTCATGCAACGATATTTCAGAACACCATTGTACAGGGACTGCGCCAGGATTTTTCTGTCTCCCGGTGCTGAGGGGGAGCTTGACTAATATGTTGGTTTCATGAATTCATAGTTACTTTTTAAAGAGGACATATTATCCCCCTTTTTTAACATGAATCAAGCACCAGAGGAGGTTTGTGACCCTGTATTAACCAGCTCTCTCAGAACGCTCTGTTTTGGTGTGTGTGTCTCTTTAAATGCAATGAGCCCCCCCCTGAGTTTTCCCCGTAGACATCACTCCTCTGTATGAGAATAAAAATGGCCGACCAGCGCAAAAGTTTTGCTCTAGGCTGGGGGTGGAGTCCATGGGCGGAGATACCAGGGGAGGGGAGGGGATTTTTTTGCAAGAATCCCACTGTGACATCACAAGGAGAGCACATTTTTCTTGATGAGAGCATTTTTCTCTGTGTTGTAAGACTTATGCAGACCACAAACAAAGGACTGGATGGGTTTATTTCACATTTTGTGGGTCGGTAGACACTCAGGTTACCTAAATATATGTTCAAAATACTGGAAAAGTGGATTTTTCATAGTATGTCCCCTTTAAGTTCTCAGACATACATGAGGGGGCTTAAAATATCATCAGATTTGTGACGGGGCTATAGCGCCCCCTAGCGTCAGTGTAGCGCCCTGCTTGCCGTTGTAGAGCGGGCTTATGTCAACGTCTGACTTGCATTAGTGTTAAAAAGACACATGAATGAGCTTCTTTGTAGATATCTGTTGAAATATGAGGGAGGTATTCTTCTAATTAAAAAATGACCGAACAGGAAGAATAGATCATAACATACAGAGGGTTGGATGTCAGCCCCCTTTAACAAACGGCGTTAACTCTGTACCCGACGCTTACAGTGTGTGAAATGTCGTGTGCAGAGCGTCTTAATCTTGATTAAGAGTATTCCTGCCACACATCGAGATGAATGAAGCGCTCCTCGGCTGCAGACGTGATGCAACAGCAGACTATTACCTGCTGAATGCGGCCTGAATGGATGATTGATGATTCATTTCGTGTCTCTCCTCTAACAATCACACAGATGAGAGAGCGAAGATTCCCCCCTCTCGCGCCCTGCAGAGGCCACTGACAGTGACGTGCAAACCCCGGCCGAGGAACGTGACAGCAGATCTATCTGGTCGAAGCGTTTACATTTTGTACCTTCACCTCGCGATCGATACTCTGAAAATAAGGTCTTCTCTCATTCAGAAAGTTCACTGGATGACATTGTGGCGCTGAAACAAAGAGAGTGTGCCGAGCTCTCCCCCCTTTTTAAACTCTTTTGAGGAGTTGTGATCCTTCTCTGGAGCACGCGTTCGTTTTATGAACTTCAGAGTGAAGGACTTTGAAAAGATGGCCTCCAGTTGTTTTGCAGAGGCCTCGATGATAAATGACCCGATGCGGATGAACCGTTAGTGGCATTGTGGAGACTTTGGCTGAGTGGCTGTTACATCTTTTTCTCTCTCTAGACAAAGGGACATAGCCTAAGCGTGCTTTTTTTATTTATTTTTTCTTAAGTGCAATATGATAATGCAGAGTGAAATCAAAGCTTTTCAAACATGGAAAAAAAAAAGAAACGTTTGGAAGAAGCCAGATCTTTGCACGGCGTCTGTTTGGTGCAAGATAAAAAAGAAGGAAGAATGTCTGCAGTGACGAGGTGAAGAGGAATATGAATTTATGCACTTTCCTTGCACAGCGGGGCAGTTAAACGTATTAATGAACTGCTCCTTTTGTCTCCTATCGCTGGAAACAAAAGTCTGTCATGTCGCCCCGCTGCTGATGTATTGTAAAAAGATAAAGTGAGGCTGAGGCTGAGGGTGAGGGAGGCTTCCTGTGCAGGATTTATTGGCACCATTATAGTCCAACATAAAGCTCCTTAGGATGTAAAAGAGAGCCATGAAACAATCTCTTATAGACTGTTGGCAAGGCGGCCGTAAAGAACCTTATGACATTACAGTTCAGTCTTTATTCTTTGGTTAACGGATGTTTAAGTTTTTTTTTCCCCTTTTAAAAAGGTGCAAATAAATGTGCTTTATATGTACACTGTAAAATCTCAAATCTTAACGAGTGTGTTTTTCCAAAATATTGCATTATTTGCATGACAAGTCCAGAAATTAAATTATTAATTTTTTAAAGGTACAGTAAGCAAAATATAAGGCCTGAATTGCCAAAGATAAGTAAAAAAAACAGCTCAAGAAACAGGAAACAGGAATATAATTATCAAAAAAATAACAAGAAGTTAAAAATCAAACTGGGGATGTTGAGCTGCATCAGTTCGGTATCGGGCGTTATTATCCCTGCTCACAGACATCAGCACATCGGAAAATGATGTGGCATGAACCGAGGACGGTATCCGATATTTATCTGATGTGCCAAATCCTTTCAATGCTGGCGTCCAGTTCACCTAACTACTGATTCAGAGGAGAGGTTTATTGTTGGGCAGATGAAGTCACCTCTGTTCTGGAAGTCCGCACACCAGAAGCTGCTCCGATAAACATTTAATGGGAACTATCACCACATGTAACGTTCAGGTCCTAACCCTTCATCGGACATGTCGGAAACACCTGACGGGTTTATTGGAGCAGCTTCTGGTGTGCTGACTTCCTCTTCCTCTCCCTCTGTCTTTGGATTTGTTTTTTGTCTCAACTATTCGGATGAGCGTGCTGTTTAATGTTTTTTGTATAAACTCAGTTTGTGTGGTCAAACATGAGAGAAAATGGCGGCATTGTGGCATTTTTGCAGCCAAAGTATTTTCATGGAAATTTTTATCATTTTTGAAGCCGAAATCGGTTCAATTCTTATTTCATATAGGTGCCGCCTTTATTATCCCAATCGGTGAATCTCTTTCAAAAATCTATCAATGCAGCAAACTTTGCTTATTTTGGAAACCCCATGTACTGTACCGGCCAACCTGTACTGTACCGGCCATATTCTAAATGCTCATTTTACAGCAGAAATAAGCGTTATTTACAGACTGGCACAAACAACAAATTTGGTATCAAAAGCTCAGCACACACTGAATGGGAGGGGAGGTGGTGGTGGGGGGGGGGGGTCCTGAAAGCAGATTTTCAGATATCGGTTTGCCTTTGTAAGACACGTGATGTTTAACTCGGTGACGTCACTGCGGCGCCATACTGAAGGTAAAGGTCACGGTGGTAACACAACCCAAAGCAACAGTGAGAGAGAGACAGAGAGATTCACGTTGCACAGTTAACAGATTCTCTTCTATCTATTCTATGAAGACCAGAAATGAGATAAATTAACTCTCTAAGATTTGAGTTTTTGAAGTGTAACTACGGCAACTATTTCCAAACACTAGATTTTTACACGCTTTGTTTGTTGTAAGGTCGAAGAAAAAATCAGTTATTTTCCAAATAAATGAGCAGAATGTGTCAAAAAGGATTTCTAACGCTCACTGTTTGCTCATTTGAAACGTGAACTCAGTCTTTACACACTTCCCTGAAAAAAAGATGAATGACCCTTTGACCTTTAATCCACACGATAAGCCGCACTCATTGTGAATATTGCTTCTCTGAGTCGTGATAAGACCACAGTCTCTC